TTCTCTCTCTCTCTCTCTCTTTCTCTCTCTCTCTCTCTCTCTCTCTCTCTATATATATATATATATATATATATATATAGAATGTATTATAGCAGGGAAATAGAAGCCTAGAAAGCATATTTGTAAAATGTCAACTTGAAGATACTGACATTATCCTCTGTTTGCAGGAGTTGGCAACTGAAGATAAACCATCCAACATTCTTTCCTGTATTTTGGTAAGCTTGGCCTATTATATCAAGAACAGTAATGAGGAAACTCTTTCAGGTGCAGGAACATCATATAGAGTGAACGGTATTGCACTGCAACCTCAAGTATCATGAGTAAGGTTCTACTTGCAGTGAAAGATGCTGCACTGATTCTCTGCCAATACAGTTCCTTCCATACAATGCTGGTATTCATACGGGTTCAACCCGTAATGGAACCTATGAAGGTAAACTATGAAGAAGTTAATGCTCAAGTATTGTCCCTCGTCAAGCAGATAGATGTAAATAACCAGAACTTGGACTAATTTCAACGTCCAGACAAAACGATGACAACGTAACAGTAGAGAATATTAGCTATTTGTCAATAATAAATGCCACAGTGAAAATACTAGAAAAAGTTAAAGTGGATGAAACGTCTTTTACCAATCACTGTATACTAAAGTTACAAGATAGTAAGAAAGAATGCTGACAAACTCAAACTCCGAATTAGAGCACGTTGCATAGTATACAACACTGTTAATCATTGGTAAGAGATCCCAGGATGCTGGTCTCAAAGATCTTGCATTTGAGTCTGGCATAATTGCTGAAGGGTCCACTAATGGTGTATTGAAAGAATGCAAATACAATCTGTTGGTGAGACTGCATAAGTTAGTTTATGAAGCCATACTGAGAATAGCTAGGGAATGTGTTAATACCTAACTGGAACAGCACTAGCCCATCGACCTGCCAAAGTTTAATGACACTATACTTCAGTTGGAAATCCTGCATAACAACATTACCCAGGATCATGTGAGCTATCTTCTTAGTCATGTTAAATGTGTTAGGATCTTCCAGCTGTTCATCATGTACCCGACTTTCTTGAGGTTTCAAAATTGGATCTGTCAGGTTTGTAACATATTGATATGGTTGAGATATTTCTTGGGTTCATTCGAGCACCAAGGGAAGGACACTGGCTTCTTCATCTTGCCATGATAAGAGCAATGATACCCTGGATGTCTGCCTATGACATACAGAACTATGAAGTTTACTACAGACAAATGGCATATTTGGAAAGGGAACATTTTGAAGTGTATAATTACCTCCAACATGGAGGATTCTCTGTATAGTTGAGGTAATCAAACCCACTTCGAAGAATTCATGTGGATCAAGCCAGACCACAGGTGGAACTAAGGGATTTAGTCTAAACAATGGAGAGTTGAGCAGATACTATATAAATGCAGAGTATGGGAGTGTATTTATTAAGAATCCGAGGTAGATGGTATGAGTGCAAACATCAGGCATATCTCATGCAGATCTTGAACCATCCAGAATACAGAGAATGAGAATAATGTGCAATCTTTGTTAGATATAATGGAAAGCAACTGGGTTGATCCTTTTGCTGTTGGCACGTCTCCCCACTGGAAAGGTAACACTTGCCGATGTTCAAGATCTTTTATAAGCAATACAATACAAAACTTTCAGACAGATCAGGTTGAAAACAGAACATTCAATGCAGAAATTCCATGACAGACTGCCAAAACAAAAACTGAAAATCTAGTAGAACAAAAGCTTCAAACAAAAATATAATACTGAAGGCAGATCGCAAGCTCTTTGAACACATGGTTTTGGTATCATTAAGTAGAAACTTTGACATAAGTGAAGTCCTACAGCATCCATTAGATTCACTGCCCTGGGCTCTTGCCAACTGTGATCGTACATTTAAGAAAATAAGCAAAGCAGGTCCAGCACGACATCTTGAGAATAGAGTTTCACCAGTCAACACAATTCTAGTCCTTCTGTTTGTATAATAAGATGGAATGAGTCTTGTACACAAAACAAATGTGACGAAGAAATGTTAAGGTGATGAGGCAGCAATCAATTGTTTCAGTACTGACTGCAACAGGACAGATTTAGTG